TATCTCGAGTTCGGTCGGATTTTTTTAAACATGATTACGTACGTTTTATTCGTAGCCTTGTTAGACGAGCGAGTATAAAGGGAACGAGATCATTCCGCGAAATTAAAACTGTCTCACCGAGAGAGAACAGGGTCAGTAGGTGGCCAGTTTATTTTCGCACAATCGTCGGTGCCGGTTGAAAAGTCTTAAGAAAAGCGTCGGACTTAATACTGTGACGCGAAAGGGTGACAAACCCGGCTCGGTTGACAGTGTAATAAATTGTGACGGAGGAAATTCTTTTTCTCTCACGATCGAACGTCGAGAGTGAGAGAGCCTGAAAGGGGTAGCGGCGAGGGCTGATGCATGCCGGCGCGGAACAAAGCGATACGTCGTACCTCGAGACGTGATTGGTGAAAGGGCTGTTTTCATCTTTGACTACCGGTCGCTTTGTGTGTGTAAACTCGCAGCACGGCAGCGGAGTGCCTTTAATGCTTGACAATCGGCGACGGCTCTTTGGGTTTCATGCAACGACACGTTCTTTGACAACGTTGTCATGCCACCGGGCGTAGTAGATGCTCCTCGAGAATTTAATTCACGTATCCCTCCTCGATATTTGATGATTCGTCTTTTCTCAGTTCGCCTGACGTTTTCACTCGTTTCTACTCAACTTCCTTTATTTTCCATTCAAATCGAATGAGCATTCGTGTATAACAAAAATTATTTATTACATGCGACATATAAAAGACATGAAAACTTCGTTCGGGCTGTATTAAAAAATGAAATTTAAATTACGATAGGAATGCTTAATGCAAAATGACTTATTATAGTCTATTTATTTATGTCCACATGTTATATGTATATTACATTTATTACTAAATTTCCAATTAAGTTTATCTTTATGTACCAGTTTGAGCCTTTGTCTCCAGTCTATGTCCTATGTCGTGTATTCGGTGAAGACACATTAAAGGGGTGCACTAATATTTGATGACATTCCTTGTGAAGTGAAGCAGGCCGTTTAGCACGACAAATGATAGACAGTCTAGTGCATATTGAATTAACTTCTAATTACTGATATGACTTCCCTACGGAGTCGATGGTCAGTTCGTAACTGTACCTCTACGTTTGATTGTACACTGACACACTCTACATGAAAGTGCGCATTGGACAATATAAATTCTCTCAGACGCAAAGTGCAATTTTACAACCTTGATTTATTTATGTTGCAATTAAGTGTAATTATTAAAGGATGAATCAATTTTGCCTCTATTTCCAGAAATAAACCCTTAAATTAAAGGTAAATACGATTAAGCGATTGGGCTACAGGTGAAATTCCGGTTCCCAGCATCTTGCGAGTTCTACCTTGAGGTTACGTAGCCGTCCCGAGGGATACGTAATTTCACGTGTTCCGATAGCTTGTATCTTCGCAACGTCAATATCGTCTGTAAATTCATCCGCAGAGGACAGCCACGAATGCCCAACGGCTACGAGATACCGTTCCATCCTCTGCTGCCCTGTCCACTTCAATCTTAGCGTTTGATACATAAGAAACTATGCAGCTCTCGCCATGGGTAACTAATGCGGCGCAACCCTTTCGCATAGCATAGAAACTGCGGAGTATAGTAGAGCCTGTCGGACTTATACGTTTGGGAAATTAAGCGACGGGCGATACGATGTCCTTATTCCCTGTTCCATATACATGTGTCTCTGTCTTTTACGTTCTCCATTCCGTATCTCCTAATCTCGTCGCCTCTCGGTTCTTTTTTTCATTTCGTAGAAAACATTTTATGTATTGTAAAAAAGGCAATTAAAATATTTTATGCTAGTGAGAATGAAGAACAAATTGTACAATATTATGTAATGCACAAAAGCTTTCGCCCGTTGTCTGTAATATGTATGTATGTACATACATAGAGTAAATGGATTTTACGCTGCGTCTGACTACGTACGGTTTACTATCACTTACGGCGCCGAAGTGGATTGACAAGTTTCACGAAGCTACTCGTATAACTGATGGCAGAATCAAGAAAAAGTACACGAAGTACAGAGTGATTCTAAAGATAAAATATAAAAGAAATTGTTTATATAACTTTTCTCGTGATAGGAGAATCAGTTAATTTACTATCAGTGCAAAAACAATTGCACAATTTGTTTGCATATAATGACAACATCAGTGTATAATTATTATGTAATTATTTTTGCACGTATCTGTTATATAAAAGTATTAATAAAAATATCCGTAAATTATGCTTCACTGTTTTTAAAACCTAATACAAATGTTATTTATTTGTACGTAATACCGAGTACGACTTTGACGAAACGAATAAAACATTACTATTTCTCGCACGCGGTTTTACATAAATATTTCGGTAAACAGAATGCACCTCTCGACGAATTGCATACGTTATTTCCCGCGTGATATGAATTGCGCGTAACCGCAGTTTATGATGTCACGCCTGAAATAAAATTAAGTGCATTTTAATACATTCGTTGACAGAACCAGAATGTCAGACGTTTCGCATTCAAATTATTTATTCCAGCTATCAATTTTCATGACAAACAGTTATTTGGGATTGCTATTGTTAACGTTACCACGAATGATCTTGCACTCTTCGAATTTATTTTATACCGAATGCACGTCCGAGGAAGGTTTTTAGAGTTATTCTTTTATATGGAGTGACGTGGATTAAGCTGAATGCTGTGTTTTTTGTTACCAAGTTATTTCGTTCGTCAGTAATTAATATAATTAAAACTTCTTTCCAGGATTAGTGTACAAAGTTTTCCTGGTAATATCGAGATAATTAAAAAATTACGTTCATATCGGATGCCCTCCACTGAATAAAAAGTTGAAAATTGCATTTCCCTTTAACCACGCTTTATCAACATTCATTAGACTTTATGATATAAATCATTCTGATCATATTATATACATATAAATCATACGTATCAAATTTTATGAAATAACCGTGGAGTCATTAATCCTGTCTGACCATATACGGTCTACTACTACTTCGAATGAATAATCTTTGCCAATACCACTGAATTCAACATATTAATCCTTATTTCCATTCGCTTTTAATCCAGTTCTCTTGAGAAATAATGACATGAATTGCAAATCGGCTGCGTCCACTCCATTTTGAACAATTACGCTACTCTTGCGCGCGATCAAAGAGAGGGAAGTAACGCGTTTCCGCCTTGATTGTGCCGGTTCAAGCGACAGGGAAGTAACGCGACTCGTTTGACTGAGAGCCTGCGACAAATGGAATATTACGAGAGGTCTGCCGCTAATTAATTAGAAACCGTCCGAACGCTTGTGATGAATAGGTTGCGTAACGGGGATCATTAAACCCTCGGTAAATTCCGGCCGAAGTTCCCGCGGCGCAGTGGCGATGTGTGTAATTATAATAGCTCGTTCCGCGTGTTCTCCGTTCGGGGACCGAATCATTTTCTAAAGACCAGATTCCAATTTATAACTCGATGCTCTCCGACCGCGGAGTTCGCGGCTGTATTTAAAGTTCTACCGTCGGAATAAGCCCGCGCCCGCTCGCTCCTGACGTCAAACGAACGCCGCGTATACGGCGTATTAGCGCATTAACAGCCGTTAACGAGCCGTTAAATTGTTTTTGCGAGTGTGGGTCTCCTCGCCCTTCCCCGCAATAAGCCGCGCGGTTCTATTATAATCCGTGCTAATTTCAGCATTGTATTCGCTTTAAGTCACGGGATCGCTCGTAGAAACGCTCCCCGGGCACGTGAACCTCGGTTAATCTGTGTACAGTCGGACTTGGAAACACCTGTTCCGTTTCGCTGCCGGGACTAATTAGTCAATTATCCTTTCTACGAGTATCACCGAACTCGGAGTCTGATACGCTTTGTCAATGGCAGAGGTGGCTGACATCGAGCCGGGTTTGATGAAATTCGAAACAGAAACGGATCAAATTGCGACCAGTTCCGGCGACACCTTTCTTCGGGATTGAAATCGGCGAAATGGAAACGGTCCCAGGAAACAGGATCGAGCTACACGTCTGCCTGTTTAATTTGCTGATTATTACGGGCTGCCGGACCCGATATTGAATTAAACCCACCAATTTATTAAAACGGGGCAGCGATCGCTCGCTACGCTTAATGCTATTTCATAATTCTCGCTCTCTACATAAATTTTATTTTATACTTTGTGCTCTTTACATTGTTTTATCTGGCCCGTATCATTTGCTTTTGTCCACTTGGAATGGCAAAGGTTACTCTCTCCGTGTTGTAATTATTTTTCGAGATACAAAAGAATAATTCAGTTTAAATCTTAATTTGTAAGTGTCTCTTCTGAATATAAAAATACGTTCGCATCGTATTTTAACTCTGTCAAAAATTGAACGCACGATAGGAAATGAACGCTGGAACAAAGGAAAATGGCTAAAGGAACCGGGTTACTCAATTTTTCCATTTTTATCTCTGGTAGGAGTATCCACGGTGCACGCTGTTGCGCGGATAAATCACACTCTTTAGGCATTCCAAGATTTCCCTACCTCTCCGTCCCGAAACAAGGTATCATCTCGGCTTTGATCTCTATCCGCGCACTATTCTCCGCTATTTTCTGCCTTCAATGTATTCGTACAGCTTTTCCGTTTGTACAAAGAGATTTACCGGTGGCCGGTATTTCACGATAAATTCTACATTCATCCGGGGTGCGCGCATTTACATTTCATATTTTTATTCCCTTATCGTATTTGGAAATACGCTGAAAATTTATGGGAATCATTCCCGTTTAAAACGACAAAAAAGTTTCATATCGAACCCCATAAATCTTATATCACTCCATGGTTCCTCTCCGCTGCCACGTCCATCTTTTGTCTCCTATTAACGAAGGATTAAAAAACCGATAGTCATCGCACAATGCGATCATGCATTCACCACCTTTGATCGGTCGAACGAAAAACGATTATCTGTCTTTCAATATTCCTTTACACGGTTCTTCGATTCATTATCTTTATGAACGCAGAGGGCTAACAGTTCCGATTTGATTTATGTTTCAGCTGCATGGGCGGCGACTTTCTAAAAGTGTTTCTACATTTAGAGACAAGCGGCGTATCGGAGTACACGCCCTGGTCCGGTGTGCTTTGTGGCGATCTCAGTGATATCCCGCAGGTTCTCTACAGTTCGAGATCTACGCTTATTTTGGAGTTTCATACCCAGGGACCCACGTCTAATGCTACCGGCTTCTTCGGGAACTTCCACTTCATCAATAGACGTGAGTTATTAATACAATCACACGTATTTTCTTATCTAGTGTAATTCACATTGAATCTTTACATTTAACATTGTTAAGTCTTTCCGAAGAGAAATAATCTAAGAGTTTTAAATAATTAGACTTTTATGCAAACTTTAATAAAAATGTGATTTAGACTTTCTTTAAATTGTCTAAATATTTAAAATCTTCTCATAAGTGCATAAAATCCGCAGTCTAAGAAGAATAATATTTGAAGGGACGAAATTTTACATTTACTTTGTCTGTTCGTGTGTGTAATATCCGAGCCGTGCGTTTAAAGAGGATCTCTACGACAGTTGCGAAAGATTGAAAGAATGATAATTCAAGACAAAGACGAGAGCACATACGTGCTTTATCATAGATCTTCAGTTCACTTTTGTTGTATTACGTACTCTTAACAGCTCCCACTTCAATTTTGAAGATATTCAATTTTGGGTCAAACAGTCTATATGTGTAACATTCAGACTTGCATAAAATAGATAGGCATTGCGTTTAGATACTAAATATGTAAATATTTAAGCAATAGTTCCTTACAATAAGGATTTAATACTAAAATAAAAATTCTGATTTAATGTTCAATACTAATAATGCATCAAATTCTTTGAAATTAAAAATTTACAAAACGATTTACAAAACTTTTATCGTTTCATTTAACATACGAGCTATTTGAAGTCTAGGTTTTCTCTTTTAAATACGACGGTGGGACGAGTAGAGACGAAATCGGACCTCCGTCCGTATTTTGGCCGGATTTACAGTAAATTGTGAAAATTAAATAAAAGCTGTCGATCGTGAGACGTGACGTTGCCAGTGAACCGGAAATGCATGACGTCCGTGAAACGTCCGGGGCTAAGAAACGAACCGGATTAAGACTGACGGGTTTTTAACCAACGGAGCGAGGGTTGGTCGCTTCATTCTCGAGCCCGGGAACGTTCATCGGAGCCGGGCGGGCGGCGTGCTTATCGAGAAACTGCAGCTTTCGTTTTATGAAACTTTTTCGAACGGAGGCTTATACCCTTTGCCGCGTGCCAGTTCGATTGGAAAATATTTTCAAAGTTATCCCAGGTTCTTTCGTTCTCTTCTCCGGCCCGTGTAACACTGACTAAAACGTGTTTGCCCGGGAATGAACCTAATTGCGACACGTTCGAACATTTTTCAGTGAACAGCCTCCGCAGTTCAAAGCATCCTACGTGGCGCAATGCGTTTTGTCAAACATATTAAAAAGAAAACTCTTGACGTTCAATTAATATTGTTACGAAAAATAGCACGTTGAATGTAATTAATTCTTTGACTGCTACTCTTTCACGTCAAGCATGCAATAGTAAGTTTGCGATAAATCCATTTAAAAAACTTAACAGGTTTTGCGCAGGCACAGTTGTCTCTTTTTTTGTTTTAACATTTTTATTCACAAAATATAAATACGTTCCCTAAATTATATTTTACAACCATTTAATGTAAAGAATTTAACTTCAGAATTAACTTGTACAAAGGTAAAAAAAAAATACTACAGTCTTTCTGTAAAAATATTCGGATAATAATTAAAAGTTCATTAATTAAAACTTCTCTTGAGGAGGAGGAAACTTGAAAGCAAGAACAGGATTATTTTTACATGATATTGAAATTCTTTTATGCTTTTCAAACAAAAAATATGTCACGTTTCTTTACGCTTACGCGGTTATTGTAGATTTGCGGAAACAGGCGTAGATTTGCAAGTGACGCGAATCCGCGACTAAACGGCAAATACCGTGTGCACGCGTGTAGGCTCGGTGAGAGCGGCGTTGGTTCGTTAGTAAACGCTTCACGAATATGACCGGTCGACGCGTGCTTTAAACATGTGGGACCCGCGAATTTTTTATTTCGCTCACGTGGACCGCCGGCTTACGTGTGCCACATATAACAGTGGCATAATTCTTTCCTCTTGGAGGCGAGGTGCCCGGCAATTCCGAAATATACAGTTTTCTCGTATGCTTGCCACCATTGCCCCCACCTTCTTTCCTTTTTTTTGCTCGTTCAACGAGGAAAAAAACCGACGGGTCGGTGCTTCTTGAAAACTCGCATGCTTTGCATAAGAAGGCACATCCGCACCGAGTTAACCAACAATTCTGAATTACTCAATTTATGAATGAAACCATCTGTCATCAAAAGAACAAAAATTCTCAGGGAGAAAATATGAAGCGTCTGTTTCATTTATCGTTTGCTTATACTACTTGATTCTATTAAGATCAGTAATTAATTAGAAATTCAACATCTCTACGAAACATCTTCATCGATATTGGTGCATATCGAGAGATTTGAGGTATCATCTTATGTATGTTTTCACACGGTCGAGAGTTTGAATCGCTTTGAATGTGTTGGTGTCGTTCACTCGAAACAGATTTCGGTACGCCGTTAATCCGAGGTGACCGAAATCCGTCGAGGATCCGGTCAAGCATAATGGAAGTCGATAACCAAAGAGATTAGTTAAACAGAGATTAGACGGTAGATAGGAAAATCGGTGCTGCGCCGGTTGGCTTATCGTAAACCGTGTTATCAAAACAGCCTGACGTATAGGTAACGTTTCGCGCGAAGGAGGAGGCTCGATCCCCGAAACCCCTCTCGGTTAACTCGATCAATGTTCAATCTGCCGGTCCGATCATCCACCGTACGTTCCACCGGTATTCATCATCGTGAGCCTCCTGCGGTCGCTGATCACTAACACAGAGCGCACTGTCGCGATGATATTTCATTGGCGGTCGATCCGCGGCCGAATCGGCGAACAAAGACCTTGACGGTGGAAGAGAAGAAAAATGCACGGGGTTCGTGGTAATGCGTGGAGAGAACGTCACGAATCCATTTCGCTCGATCCATCATCCGAGACAGACCCCGTCAGCGACGAATAGGCCGCGGCGCAGGAACGCAAGACGGAGAAACGGAGAAAAAAAGCGAAGTGTCGTTCTACACGGTCGTCGGTGAAAAATGTACCTGTTCCTTTATTTTTTTTCAACGACGCACGGATTCGCGATGGGTCCCCGTAGAGCCACTCTCACGCGCGATGTCTCCGGCAAACATGGAAAATTCGCCCGTAACTTATGCGCGTCCATTAAACGGTAAACAGTGGGGTTGGCTGTGTCGGCATGCGAACCGCGCTCCTCGCTGATTAACCATGTATAATTAAAATGTAATTTCTCCCTCGTAACCCGGCAAGTTTTAATCAAACGGGGCTCGGAACCGAAGAACCGGCGGAAGGGCTTGTGACGCGATACGCCGGAGGGATGATTATCGCAGACCGCGAAATCTCCCATCAGGATTCTTCGCTGAAAATGCGAAGCGACTCATTTTATAAAGAGATACATGTAGTACGCGGGGAAGCACGGATGTATCTCATGAATAAATTGAAATATTCATATGACCATTCGCCGGGTGGGTTCGGTTGCATTTCGTACGGTGAAAAATATTTTCGTTCTATTAGAATTAAGTGACGACCGCGTAAGACGTTATTTTCTACAATTATGGACGATGTCGACATTTGTCGGAATAACATCGTTATCTTTTCATTTGCATGTGTAACATCTCCGCAGCGGTGGAGATAAAATGCCGCATTTCGTTCCCATTGCATAATTCCGTGAAAATTCCAGCGTGTTTGTCAATATGCAGCATTGCAACGACACGGGACGCATCTACCCTCGTGAAAATAGATATCGCGCGAGGTCGCACGGGCGCGAGTTAATTCATTTAGTGTGCCCGCTAGCTCAGGACTTCAATCTCCTCGAAATTCGGCAATTAAAGTGAAAATTGCGGAGGCGGTTTCCCGATGGTCTCGCCGAGAAAAATATCGCTTACACGCGCCGCCCCCTCGTTAACCAATATTCCCCTTTGTCCTCCTTAATTGCAACGAAATTTAATAGTAATTACTTGGCGGGCAACCGTCCGTGAACGATGGTTCCATCGCGCGCCGGAAGAAGTCGTAAAACAATCGAACGGGGTTAATGGATCCGCCGGTAGTAAAATCGTCGACCTTCCGCCGTACCGCGGAACAATAACCGCGCATAACAAAATCGTATTTCGTTACCACCGGTGCTCGGATCATTCCTGGCCGCGGGTAACCGCATCGCTTCTCCTTCGTTTGCCGCCGCGAGCGTATGATCGCGTTCGATGAACACGCTTCTAGCGAGATCGTAAACCTGTTTCAGTAATCGTAAATTCACGCGAATCGGTAGCAAGGTATTCCGCGAGCTATCCACCTGGTATCCGGTCGAAATTCGATGAGTTACGATTAAAATTGTAACGAGTACCGAACCCCCGGGGCTTATCGGTCCGTGATAAACCGGCGGCTACGATGTTCAAGATAAAGAGGAAATATGGTACAAGTACGCGAAATGTCCCCGAGCTATTTGCCCCGGTATTGATTAAAGTGGTCAATTCGGTCCGCTGGACTATTTTCAACTTTCCCTACGCCCGGCACCAGTGCTAATTACTCGGAGATATCGACTCCGATTCGATTTGCGCCTTTATCAGAATCCATTTGAAACCTTGCCGGCAATTAAAGAGCTTGCGTTATCCGACTCTTGAAAAATTCTAGTCAACGCGATATGACGCAGCTACCGTTTGGTAAACACGGTTTTATTCGAAGCGAGTCCTGCAAATATTTTAGACCGACGAAATGCATCGAAAATTGGACGTTTAGAGAATACCCGGTAGTTATATGCTTTTATCCATGATACGTATTCTGTTCAATTATATTATTGAGAGAAATGCATCACAATAAAAATGTTTATTTCACGTAGCAAAACTTAAATAATATAATTCCTCGAAAAAAAAAGCTTTTCTATTTCAGCAGTAATTACATAAAATGACGAAGGTATAAAAAAATATACGGAGCTGTCTTAATGCCGAGAACGTCTCAGTTTTTAGACGAGATTAAATCTCCTCTGAGCGGCTAACTGAAAAGGAGGACGGCGGTGAGAAGTTGTTTTGGAAAGTCAAAGTCGCGATAATTTTCTTTCATA